GGACTCTATTCCCATTATGGCTCAGACTGTGCAGGAGTTATCTGAAGAAGTGTTGGAATCCACGAAGGAGTACTTGAGAACCTTGGTCGCTGCACCTGAGAGGGTAGAAGAATTAGCTGGCCTGCAGAAACGGCTGGACAAAAGGTCTGACCTTACCAAGGAGACCCTCTCTAAGTGCAACAAAGATCAGTTGGAAATTTTGGTTGCAGTGAGGACAGGGCTCGGAAGCTTTTTATCTGGAAAGAATAGGCTTCCCGCTGGTGAATTGGTGGATATATTCTTGTTTCTGAGGTGTAAAAATGTGAACTGTAAGAGCTTCTTGCCTGTTGAGGATTGTGAATGCAAGATATGCTCAAGCAATAAGGGCTTTTGCAGTTCTTGTATGTGTCCCATTTGTCTTAAGTTTGATTGTGCTAGTAATACTTGCAGTTGGGTGGGGTGTGATGTGTGTTCTCATTGGTGTCATGCTGATTGTGGCATTCGGAGAAATCTGATCAGGCCAGGTCCGAGCTTGAAAGGACCCTCGGGGACTACCGAGATGCAGTTTCACTGCATTGGCTGTGATCATGCTTCAGAAATGTATGGTTTTGTCAAGGACGTATTTTCCTTCTGTGCGAAGGATTGGGGTCTAGAAACTCTGATGAAAGAGCTTGATTGTGTGAGGAAGATTTTCAGGAATAGCGAAGACCGTAAGGGCAAGAAGCTGCATGAGAAGGCGGAGGAGTTGCTTTTGGCGCTTGAAAGCAAAGCAGTTTTACCTTCCGATGCCTGCAATATACTTAAGGAGTCCTTTACATGTAAGCTTCAACTTTCCACTTCTTTCCTCTTTTTGCCCCAGAACTTTTTGCTCTTCTAGTTCGTTTGTCTGTGATCACAGGACCTGCTTGTGTACTGTTCTTGGCATTTGTGAGATTTAATCGTGTAGGCTTACTAATAGATTTTAGAGTTACATGCCATGAACTGTATGTGGTGGCTGAGTTTTGTCTGGCAGATTTCAATGCCAAAGGTGAAAAACATTGTTGTTTGTCATCCTTACCTTTTTCAGTGGAATAATTGGTGGAAAATAGAAATTCTTTTGGCAATCTAAGATTGGCCTGGGAGAAACTTATATTCTGATGAGAGGTACGTGATAAGAGCTGTTGCGCTGAAAATAATGGTGGACGTGCATTCGGAACATTTCACTTGTGATGAATGGAAGACCAAGGTAGTTATATATGCTTTCGAAGCAACGGGTGACTAAACCTGGATATCCAATACCCCATGCTTATTATGTGCCTCCCATGAAACAGTTAAATTGCTTAAAGAGTCAGTTGGATCAAATTAGTGATATCCTTTTACATTTCTGGAAACTGGAAAATATTATAAGGTTTAGCTAGGTATTGCAAGAGCTGGATTTGTGATTCTATCCTTGGTAATGGATTTTAGCCGATTTGGCCTCATCAAGACAACATAGGGAGCCGCTAAAATCTTCTCTTAGAATCTGAAAGTAGTTACAGAATGATATCTTTGTTCACACCTCAGAAATTGGCTGAGTGAAAAGCCAAGGAAGGAGCACTTTGTATCAAGTCAACATATATTGGAGGAAGACACCCAGATTAAGTGAATGAATCCGCAAACATGCTCTTTGCACGTAGACACTTCTACCACATAGTTGACCAAATAGATTGACTAGGCAAGACTCTTCTCACACTGAATAAGCTCCTTCGCCCATAGTGTGTAGCCATAGGATAGAATTTACTCGGACTGATTTGAGATTTCAAACTTCTGAGGCATCTTGCTTCTTATGTTGATTTTCTTGTCTCTGAAATAACAATTTATTAATTGTGTCCACTTTCCAGTTAGTTGGGTAGCTCTTGCTACGTATTTTCCCGGTATATCTCCAGGATAAGAGGGAAGAGAGAATTTTTGCTTGTTGCCAAGTTTGTATTGTTTGTTTTAGAAAGTTTAGTGAAGTTGGAAGAAACTGAGTGCCTCGTTTGTTTGCCATAGTTAAAATCTTGGACTCCTTCTGCATGAGCACGGTGCGTCAAGATTACGGCCATTGTTGGAATTCATATAACGTGCACTCTCTTAGTGATATTGGGATGCAGTCAGAAAAGCTATCCTGAGTTCTTGGGGTACACCTACAACAGATGCAAGCCACTCACACATGCAATACCCTTTTTTTAATGATTCTTTCTGTACCTTATATACTAAACCCAACACCATGTCAGCATGGGAAAAGTAAGGTTCTTCGCATTTTGTTGTGAGGTAAATTCTTAATGGCACGGTGCATCTTAAGCGAAGATTGTTAGAAAGTCCAACCCAAAACCTTAAGCTATTAGGTGGAGGGAGACCATATGAATATAAAGAGCATTTAGGACACGTTGTTAATTGATGTGGGATAATACTTCAACACCCCCACTCACGTGTTATTACCACGTACATTCGCGAAAGGAATAGCATTGGCTCTGATACCATATTAGAAAGTCCAACCCAAAAGCTTAAGCTATTAGATGGAGGGAGACCACATGAATATAAAGAGCATTTAGGACCCGTTGTCAATCGATGTGGGATAATACTTCAACAAGGACTAATTTCTTTGCATTGGAAGTTTTCTTTTTGATAATTGATTCCTACTTCCTTGTTTGTCCATTTCGCATTCACAAATTTAAATTCTTGTACTTTCGCATGGTCTGATTCTTTTCTTTTCTTTTCTTTTTTCTAATGGTAATATCTGATTGATGCATCTATTAGACATAGATGGGATTTCAGATTTTTCTGCGCCTAGTGCATTTGCGAAGCTGCAGAGAGAAAGTGCCCGAAGAGACCCGGCCTTTCGCCTGCAATCCACCTACATGAGGCCTTTAGCTCCCAGTGAGACGCCAAGCAATTCGCTCAAGGAGCTAAAACCATCCTTGACGAGCGAATTGACAGCCGAGGATGAGTTGAGAAGTCTATTGAGAAAAGACTCGTTCGACAGCTTGGAGAGTGTAATACGGATCAAAGAAGCAGAAGCGCAAATGTTCCAAAGCAAGGCGGACGACGCGAGGAGCGAGGCGGAAGGGTACAAACAGATGATCCAGATGAGGATGGAGAAGCTTGAGGAAGAGTATGCGCAGAAGCTGGCGAAGCTGTGCCTGCAAGAAACCGAGGAACGACGGAAGAAGAAATTGGAGGAGTTGAAGTTTCTGGAGAATTCGCACTGCGATTACCAGAAAATGAAGATGAGGATGCAAGCTGAGATTGCTGGCTTGTTGGAGAGAATGGAGGCTACAAAGAAACAGCTCGTGTAATTTTTTCTGGGCCTTCTTTTTTCCCCCTTTTTTCCGAATTATTTTTACTAATTCTCTCCTTTCATAGGTATCTAAACAAGTTATTTTATCAGTCTTGTATGTGCATCTGTTTTTAGGGGATGATTGGGCTGTTCAAAGTTTCGATGCAAAAATCAAGTTGGTTTTTGCCTGAAAATGCTATCAGCTGTCCTGTTTTTTTCTTCTCACGCAAACAAGTGTCTTAAAAGTACTATTGGTTAATTAAAGTTTCTAGTAAATACTAATTACATAAATAACAAAAAGAAAAGAAGACCCTTTTTTTCCCACTTCTTGGAACCTCAACAAGTTTTTCAATATAATCTTTAGAAAAGTACATTAGACAGTTCAAATATTTCGTACTTTTCGATCGCTCATTTAAGGTCCTCAACTTTCAAATTTCGTTCATTTAAGTTACTTTGGCGACTTGGATCGCCGATGGAGAGAAAGAAATGCGGTTATTCATGATGGTGTTCCTCCAAGTAGTTTACAGAGTCTAGAATGGAATTCTCTTTGCAATGGTGAGGGTGGATGAAGATGGCCGTATCAGTTCAAGGGCAAAGCTCTGAGTCGTCCACCAAGAAGTACTCTGGGTTTATATTGGTCTTTGCTCTTCTGAGCCAATAAAGGTAACTAAAATCACGAGGAAACAATTCATTTTCTCCGAAGAAGGAACAGGGGAATCATATTCTGTCGTTTTCTGGTGTCGAAATAAAATAAGGCGAGCACTGAATACAGCCACAGACATTATGGAAAAACAGAACCATGAAAGGGTCAAAGGTTGTGCGCAAAGAATAATTTGCCTAACATTGTTTTTGCGATGGATTCGAATCTTCCTTTGACATTTGCGTCCATATTGCATCATTAGATGTAGATCGTAAAGATTGTTTATTGCGACAACGACACTGTGGATTACTATTTAAATGTCATCTTACAGGGTGTTGATGGCAGGCACAGGAAAGTCGCATTACAGATTTGAGATGATCTGGACAACAAGACAAACCCAGAAAAGAAAGGGGGGGGGGGGGGAGGTTCTCTCAAAGATATTCGGGGAAGCTAGAACGAATGCAAAGTGCAAAATATATTGAATAGTGGCCAAAAGCAGGATGCAGAAATTCAACGGCAGATTCGCCTGTGTAAGTGTGCTCCTTTGTCTTTTCTTTTATATCCTCCTATCAAGTCTGAACTAACAACATGAAATATCTCAAAGCCTGTTTGGTTTTTGCTTCAAGGAATTAGCTGCTTGGATGTTTAATTTTAATGAGCTTGGTAATCCAAATTCATGATGGTCACAAGTTCATTTTTCTCCCACAACTTTGGTCACCCCAAGTTTGCAGTGAAATGATAGTTGTTAGCGTATACGCGGATTATTATCAAATTCACTGTTGATGTGAAAAAAACGATTTATACTATCGTGAATCATGATTATTATCATTGGATGGGTGATGTGTGTATTTAAATAGTGCAACTTGATTCTTTGTCACTCGTCTAATGGCGACCCACTTAATGCACATCGTCTATATAAAATGGCAATCCTTTACTATAAGTCGAAAAATTGCGGTCTCGCTAAATTTTATCCTAAGGCATCCAACTGTGCAACTGCATGCCCAGTATCTTTTCCATTTAAATCCCAGTTTAATCCTGATGCTAATGTGACAGAGAGAGAGACCAAGTGATCGTACCTGAAAAAAGCAGCTGGGTCTTGAAATAGAAACCGAAATAACCAATAAATTATGATAAGAGACACTAGTACATCAATCAGTAATTAATTAAATCACGCTTTCAACAGTGGGGAAACAAAAAGCAAATGATTCAAGAAAAAGAAGGTGCATATATATGTATAGAGCACTCGAATCGTACATCGGCACAAGAATCATACGAAACGAGTGAGAGAGAGACGGAGAGATCGATGAAGACTCCGAAGAGGAGGATGAAGATGACGGTGAAATTGAGGAAGCGCGCTTCTCTCTTGTGCTCGAGTTTTAAGAAAGTAGCTTTCTGCATCAACCCGGTCAAGGCCGAGCATATCGCCATGAACAGGATGACTCTCCCTCCATTTATGTGTCACGGCATAATTCTCATTTTGGTCGACGTCGATGCGCCTCCGATCATGTAGGTGAAGAAACCAAATAGCCACTGTACATACAAATAGAGTCATGTTCGCATATCGTGTTAATAACAGTGATATTAGGCCGCGAGGCGCTGATATATAGTCTCCTGCAGGAGTTTGTGATACCGTGTGAATCATCGGGGTGTGTCGCCGATCGCTCACCTGAAATCCGAACAAGGAGATGGTGCCGATGCCGATCCATGAGTGGAGGCTGTTCATGTCTTCGACTTGCTGCATGTTGTGGTACTTGAAAACCGCGCAAATGCCTACGACTCCAAGGACAAACGCGATGAGATGGAGCAACATGTGCATGAACTTCTGAACATCCCTCGTCCCGACTACTGTCTTATTCGCCATCATCTCTGCTTTCACGAAGCCCCGCGAAAAGAATCAAATGAAAACGGGAACTTGAGCTTCGCGGATTGCGACAAGCCGATTTCGCTTTTCATAGGTATATATGTTATATTTCGTCGGTCCGCCCATAATGTGTGTGTCCAAGGGACACCATTTGCTCTAATAAGAAGTGCGTCTGAGAGACACCTTTTGAAGAGGTGCGAGGAGAGTTTCTTAATGGAAGTTAAGATAACTTCTTCGGGAAATGAACAACATACAATAGAAATTCAGAACTTTCTCTCTCTCGACACATTAGGATTCCGTATCTACTTTGAGAAGACAATCGGCATTAACGCTGTGGAACAAGAATACTTTCCTTGTGATTGTATTCGGACCAACGTGTAGTAGATTCGTTCATCATTTGCTGGTGATTTAACGTACGATCCTGGAAATTGTGTTTGGAGTGCATCGAACAGGTTAGTCGATTCTCCCGACACTCGCTTCCAACATTGGTATCAGAGCTTCGGTTATGATCTCTGCCTTGTTTTTCCTGTTGATTTTTTCCGCTTGCTGTTTGATATAGAGATCATGATGATGAACTTCATACTGCCTGCATGTTCATTGCTCGGGAATTGCAAGATGAATCGACGAACATGAATTCAAACGAAGAACGGGTTTGAACGTTACGGGCGACCGTTCTGCTCGGATGATTTTCGAAAAATTATTTACGGTGGAAATTATTTTTTATTGTATATAATTGAAGAACTCGTCGAGACGAGCCGAACGGTGGGTCGAGCGCCGCCGGAAACCACTGGACGCGCCGCCACGCGCGGCCAGAATCCGTGGCGCGTGGCTCCCACGCGCCCAAAGCGCTGGCACTGCCAGCGCGTGAAGGCCACGCGCACGTCGCCAACCGGCGCTTGCTGACGTCATCAATGACGTCATTGATGATGTCATCTTGTCGGCCGGCGACCTGACCCAACCGGCGACCGACCCGACCCGGAAGGTGACCCGACCCGGAAGGTGACCCGACCACGACCCCGACCCGGACGGTGACCAGACCCGGCGACCCGATCCGTGACCGGTCAACGGTCAACCGGTCGGACCGGTCAACGGTCGAACCGGTTGGACCGGTCGGACCGGCTTAGAAGACCGTATAGAGCAAGCGCGTGCGCCACACGCGCCTCGCACTTAGGCGGCGCGTGTGGGCGCGTGGTAGGTCCGATCGGGCTGTGGTTGGTACCGTTGTGTTCGTAATGAAATTCTCTACATTGTGATATATTTATTTTATGTATTTGAAGCTTTTAAAGGTATGAAAATGCATACGGAACCCTAAATACGTGTATTTTTGGGGTATTATTGCATTTTTACTTGTATTTCCCTATAGTTTTGGAAATACAGAAGCTGGCTAACATGTAAATGACCACATAAATATTATGTAGAGCATGATTCATTGATGGCATGTTTATATGGTTTGACGTGCTTGCAATTTCCTAATTTTGAGCGTATTAAAACAATGGCTGAAGATCCTTACGTCATGAATTCTGCTGTTGATTAATATCTGTTGCATGAATGTTCTATTTGTTGATTTACATCATGCCATGCTATATGATTGCTAGAAAGGATGTGATCATTGTTTTAGATATTTTTTTGTGAATTATCTAGTCTAGTGGGAGTTCGTAGGTTGGTAGAATTAGAAGAAATTCTCACCTAGAACTTAAAATTTGCACAAATTAATCAAGTTAATGATAGTAGAACAATCGTACGCCGAAGCTGATTGGGAACGTCGTGAACTTTCGTTTTGGTGTCTTTTGTTGAATTATCATTAATTTAGTTTGTCTTTGCTGCAAATTAAAATATGTGTGTTTATGTAGAAAATGTGCTAGTATTGATTCTGCGTTTATTATGTCAATGTGTAGTAGACAGTGATTATGGCTTCGGCATCCAAGACCATTGTGGCTGACCTCAATAAGGGTGAGAAGCTAAACAGTGACAATTATGATATTTGGCATCGAAAAGTTCAATATATCCTTGAGGAACAAGAGGTTTTGGAAACCCTCAACCACATCATGGATGAACCTGAGCATGGAACTTTTGCTCAACACAAAAGAGATCAAGAAGCTTTTCAAGCTTGGAAAAAAAAAATAGCATTGCTCGCATCACGTTGCTGAGCTGTATGCAAGATGATCTCATGTGTGAGTTTGAAAGTTATGACAAAGCTCAAGCAATGTGGGTTGCATTGAAAGATAAGTTTGGGGGTACGTCTGCCACTAAGTTGAGGAGGCTCACCATCAAGTTTGACACGTACCGGAAGCGCCCAAATTTAACAATGAGGCAACATCTTCGGGAGATGTCAAACATGGTACGTGAGTTGAAGTCGGCAGGTCATTCCCTAACTGATGAACAGCAAGTTCAGGCTGTTATAAGGTCTCTTCCTGACAGCTGGGAACACATGAAAATCAATATGACGCACAATGAAAATATCGTCACTTTTGGTGATATTGCGCGTCATTTGGAATTAGAAGATGAGCGCCTAGAGGCTGCAAAATCCTCTACCCATGCTTATGTTGTTGAATCAGGTTCGCAGAAAGCTTCGGGCTTTAAGCGCAAGAGGAACCATAAATTCAACAACAAAGGAAAAGAGACTGATCAAGCACCCAAGAGAGCCAAGACCTTCCGACGCAAGAAGCGCGGTGGGAAGAAGGACAAGGCCAAGATGATGTGCTACAATTGTGGCAAACTGGGCCACTTCGCTCGTGAATGCACTGAGCCGAAAAAGGTACCACATTACTCCATTACTTTGAGTAATGCTTTTGTTTCTAGCACTATAATGCTTGCTGAATCTCATCCAATGTGGACTGTAGACTCAGGAGCAACAGACCACGTAGCTAGAGACCGAGGAGCATTTGTGGAGTATCGTCGGATACAGCCTGGAAGAAGATGGATATATGTTGGAAATAACTCAAGAGTTGAAGTGAAGGGTATCGGCACATGTAAATTAACATTTCATGGTGGTCAAAACCTATTCCTACATGATGTCTTCTATGCTCTAGATATTCGGCGAAACTTGATCTCTGTAGTTGTTCTTCTTAGCTTAGGTTATGTATTTAATTTTCATGGTGATTGTGTTGACATTTTGTTTGGAATAGTTTATTACGGTTCTGGTTATGTATTGAATGGTTTTATGGCGTTAGACATTGACTATGATGTGTACAAAGTTAATGTTGATGGTTGTTTTTCTTTAATTGCATCTTCTAGTAATGTGGAGATTGATGCAAGTACTTGGCATGCTAGGCTGGGTCACATTGGGTTACATAGAATGAAACGATTAGCTAGAGAAGGCCTTTTGGGGTCACTCGCTAATGTTGAACTATCCGTATGTGAACATTGTCTAGCGGAAAAAATAACTAGAAAACCATTTGGTAAAGGAACCAGAGCTAAACTTCCATTGCAACTTATACATTCTGATATTTGTGGTCCTTTAAATGTGAAGGCGAGGCATGGAGCCTCATATTTCATCACTTTTATAGATGACTTCACGCGTTTCGGTTATATTTTTCTGATCTCTCATAAGTCCGAAGCATTGGATTGCTTTAGGCGGTTTATAGCTTTGGTAGAGAATCAGTTGAACAACACAATAAAGGCATTGAGAACCGATCGCGGACGTGAGTATCTATCTGAGCAATTCAAGGCTCTTTGTGATGAAAAGGGAATTGTAAGACAATTGACTATTCCTGGTACTCCGCAACAAAATGGGGTTGCAGAGAGAAGGAATAGAACCCTATTGGAAATGGTTAGGTCTATGATAGCACAGGCAAATCTACCTGTCTCATATTGGGGAGATGCGTTATTGACTACTGCTTATATACTTAACCGTGTCCCCTCTAAGTCAGTCACTTCCACCCTTTATGAATTGTGGACTGGTAGGAAACCAGACTTAAGTTATCTACGACCTTGGGGGTGTGCAGCATATGTTCACGATTCTTCTCATAAATATGGCAAATTAGGCCCTAGAGGGAAGAAGTGTATCTTTATTAGATACTCTGAACACTCCAAAGGGTACGTGTTCATAGGTGAACAAGCTGATGGAAGTGTGACTGAAATGGAGTCACGAGATGTTACGTTCTTGGAGAACGATTTTCCTAGTAAAGGTGAGATCGATAAGGACTTCCAATTACATGAGATGGAAGATCCCGATAACACACCCACTAATGTTATTGAGAGAAATACAGATTTACCTCAACATACAAGACCTAGTGGGAGTGTTGCATCGCCTGACGAATTGAATTCACAAGAAGTTCAGTTGCGTAAAAGTAGTCGTAAAAGTATTCCCCGTCGTCGTTTTGAGATTGAAGGGAAAGCTTTTATGATTGCTCCACAAGACGATGCAGAGCCTAAGACAGTTCAAGAGGCTCTCTCATCCCCTGACAAGGAAGAATGGAAAAAAGCTTTGGAAGACGAAATGGAGTCTATGAGGACAAACCACGTCTGGGACTTGATTGATCTGCCACCCGATCGCAAGGCTATTGGAAACAAATGGATTTTCAAGATTAAGCGAAGGGCGGATGGATCCATTGAAAAGTATAAGGCTCGCCTTGTGGCAAAAGGCTATACTCAACAAGAGGGTGTAGACTATGAGGAAACTTTTTCATCAGTTGTAAGGTTTGCCTCCATACACCTTATCCTAGCCATTGTTGCACATTTGGACCTAGAATTACATCAAATGGATGTAAAGACAGCATTTCTCAATGGAGAACTAGATGAAGAAATCTATATGAAGCAACCGATAGGTTTCATTGCTGAAGGTCAAGAGCGTAAAGTTTGCAAACTTCATCGCTCAATTTATGGCCTTAAGCAATCGTCTAGACAGTGGTATTTTCGTTTTCATCGAGCCATAACTTCTTTTGGGTTCACGATGATCGAAGAGGATCACTGTGTGTATATCAAACGGTCCGAGGATAAATTTATGATTTTATCTCTTTATGTGGACGATATTCTGTTGGCTGGGAATGACAAGGGTTTGGTTATAACCATAAAAGAATGGTTGTCTTCTAATTTTGAAATGAAGAACATGGAAGATGCTACA